GCTGGTGGCACTGGTCAGCTTTGGGGACGCGGATGGTGAGTGCTGGGGGGATGGGAGGGGCCGGAATCGCGTTTCCCGATCCCACTCCCCCCGTCCCGATCCCGGTTGGGTGGGTACTGTCTTCTCCAAAGCTGGTTCTCACCGCGCCCTCCTCCGCAGAGTCGCCCAAGGTGGAGGTTTACTCCCGCAAACTCGCCGTCAACGGGGAGGGGAACGTCCTAAACTGCTTCGTCAGCGGCTTTCACCCACCCAAGATCGACATCACCCTCCTCAAGAACGGCGAGCCCATGAGCGACGTCAAGTACACGGACATGTCCTTCAATGACAAGTGGTCTTTCCAACGCCTGGTGTACGCGCCCTTCACCCCACAGAAGGGGGACGTCTACACCTGCAGAGTGGCCCATTCCACCCTGAGAGAGCCACAAAATTACCGATGGGGCGAGTATCACCTCCCTTCCTCTTCCAGCTTTGCCTCTGCGCGTGGGCAGAAGCCGGTGCTCCTTGATTTGTAGCCGCCGCGTCTCTGTCGCCCCTTGTTGGGAGGCTGGGTGGCTGTAAGGTGGTGGGCTTGGAAGGTCTGCTGCTGGAGAAGGGGAGTTAACTTGGTTTTAGCTGTGGAGTACTAGGAGGACTTGCCTTGTTACCTGCGGGCATAGAATTGTGGTTTCTATGAAAGGTCTCCTTCTAGGTGGACTCCTCTAGAAAGAGATGGGTCCTGTGGTGTTTTTTTGCTTTGTGTTTGGTGACTATAAAGGTGGGCGCAGCGGTGGGAACCAATCGTGGTGACCCAGCATGCTACAAGCCAAACAGGGGCAGCTCTCTGGTTACTGTACCTGGGCTGGTTCTGTCAGGAATGGATTTGTGGTGGTGGTGGAAGAAAGGAGGTGCTGTTTTCCTCCAGGTCTAACACCTTGCCCTTCTTCTTGCAGATCCAGACTTTTGAGCTGCATCTGAGCTCGTGATGGTGAGTTACAGTGATGCTCTACACCATGCTGATGAGGACAACACGGACTGCTTTCTGTAGGGGGAAAGCGTGTAGCTTGTAGAGTTGAGGAACAAAAGCAACCACTCAAAACCCTGTAAAATCTATTACATTGATGGTGATTTGGAGCAGGGCTGTTCCTATACCTTCTCTACCTGCTTTTCTGGCTGGTTCTCAGCCATACTTTGCTCCAAAGAAAGGAGCCCCTTGGAGAAAAACTTCCCCGTGTGTCTGGCCAGATGTTTTGTGGTGTTGTCTTCTGTCTGGTGAGGAGGAAGTTGCCATAGGTGGAAGTCCCCTTGAGGTGGAGGGAGGCTGGGAAACCCTGTGGTGGGCAGCATGTTGCCATGGCGAGGTGGGATTTTTGAGACATGAATTGGTGCCTTGCTGCCAAACCAGAAGCAGTCTTGGGTTTTTTTGTTGATGTTGGTCTGAGGGCACCAGGTTCTTCAAGCTGTCTGGATTTAGTCCTTGGTTTAGTTCAGCTGTTGATAGGGAAAACAAAACTAAAGATCTGTGTCCCAGCTGACTCCGAGATTGAAATGCCCTCGTTACGTAAGAGAGGCTGGGTAATTATTAAACATGCCTTGGCAAGACCTCACTGGAAATGCCCCTCATGTTGGCCCAGAAGCTGTTGTTGATGCCTTTTAGACTGAATCATGAGTGAAACCAACTGTTGTAGCTCCAAATCTGCTGTGGGTGTTCCTTAGGAAGATGTAGGTGGACCAGAGGCCTTTACTTCTCGCTGCGTAATGCTGTTCTCCCTCTAAAGCTCTCCAGCCCTTCCTTGCTGGAGAGCAGCAAAGGCTCTGAATGGTGTTAGATGGGATGAGGAAAGGCTCAAAAGATCACTTCTAGGCAACACAGTTCTAAGTAGAATTGGAAGGTGGGTCTGTCTACCTGAAGCTGGGGCTCTGCTGGCGGTATTCCCGTGTGGAAAACTTTTTTTCCCCTAAAATCATGACAGGTGCAACCAGAGTGACTGACCATCTTCTCTCCATTGTGCAGGTCTGAAATTCTGCCTTGCAAGACAAAATCACTCTCAGCTTCTGGCCTTTCTTCACACCTTTCTCGTGGAGATGATGAGAAGATGTATGAAGAAGGAATTTGGCAAGGATTGGTTGTCCTTAAAATCTTTAACCCAAAGCACTATGTCAGCCAAGCTTGCTTTTTTTTTGACCGCATACCTATAAATGCCTGCACTGCTAATTAAAATACAAGTCACTGTTGGATTTTACATGATAAATAAAATTTGAGGACTTTGGTGGCGTCCTTTAAAATGTTTCTTCAGAGTCATGAGGTGATTTTTTGGGTTCTGATGGGTGGTGGGTGGACTGGGAGCACTGGACCCAGTTGTGGTTTTTCAGCCCATTGAAGAGGTGCAGGAATTTTTCTATCAAAAAAAGAGAATTATGGGTTTATCTGGTTGATGGGGGATCTGCTTGGCCACAGGATCCTGTGAGGCTCTGAGGTTAAGGCACCAAAGTTGAGCAAAGGGACAAATCAACCTTGAGGACATTAAGTGCCAGGGCACTACTAAACCATGTCCCTCAGCACCACATCTCCGTGGCCTGGAAATGCCTCCAGGGATGGGGGCTCCACCACTGCCCTGGGACAGGCCTGGACAACCTTCTAGGGGAAGAAATTGTTCCTCAGGTCCAACTGTCTGAAGGGGATGGGGTCTGGAAGGCCTCTCCAGGCTCCATTCCAGCAGATGGCACAGGAGGACAGGACATCTGGGCCAGGATATGTCATCTTCTCACTACCTCCTTTCTCTGCCACCTATGGAGACAAGGAACACAGGGCAACCCCAGGGGAGCTCATTCCCACCATGGAACACAGGGAAGGAGGCAGGACCTGGCAAGGAAGGAGCCCAAATCCCCGAGGGGCTTCCTGCTACCATCCCTGGGGGCTTTCCCGCCATCCCTGAGGACTCCTCC